AGAACTTAAGACTCCACTGTGTATATACCACTTTATTTTTCCTTTAAAAAAAATCAAATTACATTTTAGGTAATGACCCGCAGTCACATTTCTCCTGAACGTTAAAAGTTGGAAGAGCAACATCATCATCAAAATTGACATACTCTTTAACCCAAACCTGTCCCTCAGAATCAGTCTGCCAGGCATATTCTTTGCTCTCTTCTGCCTTGTAGAATGGAGGAAAGCCACCCACCTTGGCAACTCGCATCCATTTTCGTAGCATAAAGTAAACTTGTGGCCAATTATGTCGGAAAGGGTGATGAGGATGGGTCCTCCTCAGCAGTCTCGGCAGCAATCTTCATCTCGGTTTTCTTTAGCTCCTTCACAACCCCTGCCCAAATGGATACGTCCTTGATCGCTTCAGTCCGAAACTTTCGCCAAACTTGCCCCGTTTCATCAATCCCAAAAATGTAAACCCCATCTTCTTCGGCAAATTCTACCAACTCCTCCTCTGCAACTGTTGCCCACCCACATCCCCTAAAATATTCTGCCAGCATGCTCATCCCATACCGTAACTTGTTTTTACTGGCAAAAACAGAAGTCACCATCTTCATCTTGCCTTCATATTCGTCTCGATCCAAAACTCCATAGTTTTTCAAGGGTTGATCGTAAATATATAGCAACCATGGGTTGTGGATCATATCAACCGTTATGTCACAACCCAGTGCTTTTTTCTCTTCTTCTTCATCGTCAGCTTGAGGGTCGGGGGCGTTAATCTTGGGAAAGGAAGCACTCGTCCAATTGTTCAAGATGTAGAAATTGGGTGTGGCAATGGGTCGCATCTCATTGTACCCAAGTTGCATCATTTCTTGCTTCAATTTGATATAGGACGGTATCTTTTCAACCAACCAGCAAGTCGTAGGGAGTTCGGCCAGAAACTTTTCGAAACATTGGAAAAACGGGATGTAGCGGCCCTCATCTTGAATCACTGAAGAGAATGCAACCCTTACAAACTGCTTCATGAAATTCCACGATTCTTCAAGGTTGAAGTTGACCACAACCCCTTTGCTCCTCACAAATGCATAGTAAGTGTCGTTGAAACTGCTTGTCCAAATAGTTGGATAATCCGAATAAGCAAGACTCGTCTTCTTGAATTGATTTTTTGCAGCTTCCTCATAGAGCAGTTTGCTTGCAAAGTACGGGAATTCTTTGAGCATCTGATCGCAAAGTTTCTCCAACTTGCTGGGTAAAAAGGGGTCCTTGTAGGAGGTACCGATGAGTCGCTTCATAACATAGAAACAAACTGGCAAATCAAGGCAGACCCGCTTGTTTTTTCGTTCAATTGCAACTTGAACCTCTTCGGGCTGTCCGATACGATAGATTTGAATGATTCGATCGTCACAAATCTTCAGCTTCTTGTTGTTTTGGCGGTCTGGGTTGCTCATTTCTCTCTTGTCAGATCGAGTTGATGGGTTAAACGGGTGAGTGGGGTCATCCTTCTCTTCTGGGGAACTTGGGGAAGCAATATTCCCAGAATTGCTCTTGGCATGGGTGGACTGGTTGGCAGACATGATGATTGCTTTGTGAAAGTAGAAACAAGACTGTACTGGAGATTGAAGAATCAGCTTGCTTCTTATAGTGGCGGAGAATCCTTTCCTCCAATGCTATTGTAATAATGCTCAACATCGATTGGCTGTGAATACATTAGTGGAGGAGTTATGGACCTTTGGAAATCCGGCTCATAAAGGGTCGGTAGTACCGTTGAGAACCTTTTCAGGTCATGGATTTCTCTTTCATTGTGCTCCTTTACTAAGCGGGTTATTTCTGTCCTCAATGTAAGTGCACACAAAACGTTTCCACCATTTTGCATGTAAAAGGTTAGCAATTGTTCGCACAGTCGAGGTACTTCGTGAATGTCAAACTCAATGTGGTTGACCTCCTTTGAAAGATTTATGGTCGTGTTTGTGCTTGTTTTCTTAAACCATGCATTAAGTTTCAAGAAACGTTCTTGCTCCGTTTGCGATTCTTCCTCCAATCTAGTCTGGAACGGAATCCCACGGTTGAATAATCTTGGGCTATAAAAGTTGTCCATTGTCCTTCCAGGGTCAACGTTTACTGCTCATAAAGTAGTAACGGACTCTGCTTTTTTGTAAGATTCTGGAAACGTTTCCAAGTACACAATTCCACAATCAATACATAAAAATAAAAAGTTTGGGCTCTCTGTATTGTTATAATAACGTTTTGTAGTTTTCTGCACAAATCACGCTTTCGTTTTTCACTTGTCAATGCAAATTCTATTTCTAAAATCTCTACCGAATTTTCTTGGTTCATTGGTGCATCGACTTGAGAAGAGCAGCACATAAATTTAGCATAAATACAGCAACTTGACTTAAATCTAGCAAACAGATTGATTGTGTGGGTAACTAATCCCCTTAAACAACTCATGCTGATATTTTTTGCATTTCTTCCCGGTAGAAACCCCCTTCCACAATTTCTCCTTTGAGATCCCGAAGAAAATATGTACGAGGTATGGTTGAATTTATTTGATTAATGATAAATTTTTCTTTTTTGAAGTTAGCTATGGCTCCCTTTTCAAATATTTTCTTTACTTTTGAGATTAATACTACATCACCCCCGTTGAATTTTTCTTTGCGAGAGTCTGTTGCTCCAATTAGCTTGTTATATAACCGAGCAAATATAATTTTCTCATTCTTCTTGTTTACTTCTTTTGGCGCACATTTTATACTTCTATGATATGATGAGTTGTAGTTATTTTCCAGATCTGCTAGGCGATTAACAAATTTAGTTGTTTCATGGTTTGTCATAAACCTATGAATTTTTTCCAATATTGTTCGGTTGAACCTCTCAACTACACAAGACTTAAGTTCTGACTGAACTGAAAATAATTTTATCTCGTGTTTTTGAAGTAATTCTTTACAATTTATATTATAGAATTCGCGGCCTAAATCAACTTGAATACGCAGAGGGAGTCCTTTACTCCTTTTAAAAATCTTTTCGATTCCCATTGTTACGACTAGACCACTTTTGTTTTTAAGTGGTTCAATGTATCCTCGTTTTGAGAAAATATCAATTGCCGTTAGCAAGAAGTGAGTATCGTTATTTGACTTTGAATATTTAGAGACGTCCATCAGATCCATTCCCCATTGATCGTTTATATGCTTAACGTACACCACCCGTCTCGGAAAAGTTTTTCTACGTGACCTGTGTAACGTATAAGCAGGAATAGTTTTCAAAACGTTTTCAATTTCTTGACGTGATTCTTTTCGTTTTCCAGATTTTATAAATCCTCCTAGCCCACTACAGGCACCTGGCTTTTTGGCGTTTACATATGAAGCCTTAATCCTTGCTGCACTCCTCTTGGAAGCCATTTTCATAACTGGCTAATATATAAACCAACGTTTGTGGATATATGCCATAGTCATGAACAAAGGTTCGGGCTGATTATGGCTCGAAAAAATCGTGCTAAGCTCCATGCATCTTACTTGCATCGGCTGTGTAAAAGTAGTACAAAGGACAGAAAATTTCTTATAAATAAAGCAACGGGGGAAGAAATACGTTCCATTTGTGAACTCTGCCTCAATTTAAAGAACAAAAACATTCCCGTTACCAAGTCTCAGAGAACAAAGCTTTTGCGCCACAAGACAGCCATTCAGAAACTGTGCTTAAAGTCACCAATCAAAAACAAAAAGAAGTATCTGTGTCAAAAGGGCGGCTTTCTTCCTGTACTAGCGCCAATTGTAGCCACGCTGGTGGGTGGGCTTGTTGGGAAATGGCTAGAAAAATGAAGGTGGTGCTAGAAAGTTGGTACAAGAAAATCATGTCGCTAAATTCACAACAAGATGTTGAATTGGATCTTGAAGAGAAACTTAAAGCCGAGAAAACCAACATTTTTGGGAATGCTACAATACCGGACGAAATCAAGATTTTGCTTTTACAAAATTTAAATCGTCAACTTATCGATAACAAGAGGCAGGATGACAAGGGACCTGTACTTGTTAAAAATGCAGAGAATGAAACTGCTGTGCCATCGGAAGCGATTACATCAACGCGTGAAATTTCAAGTGCTACGCTTGAAGTTCTCTTAAAGGGGACAAGTGAACGTGGCCGTAAAATTCTTGAATTTCTGAAAGATAATGGTGCAAAGATAATTGCTGATAAAATCATCGTAAATGGCGTGACATATACTTTGGTGAAAATGAACATTCTTCTTGTGGGACTATGTAAAGGACTTTCAGCAAAATCCAATCTAAAATCAGACCCCGCAATGTTGAATTTGTTAAAATTCATAAAGTCCAAGTCGCCTCCAGTCGAACTCCTCCCAAATAGCGTCAACCAATTTATTGTCAAGCAGAAAGGAGGCCGTATAAAAAGAAAACCACAGAAGAAGAAGAAGAGTGTATGGATGCAAAAGAAGATACATGAACAAAAGATGCACAAATTGACAAGAAAAATGCAAAAGTGGAAACCATTTTAATTTCGTACAAAGTTTATTGAATTTTGATGTATTTCCTTACGACAACATTTTTGATTTAATAAATGAATTTTGTTATTTATAAATTCGTTGACTAATCTATCATTTTTAGAATAATCTTTCGAAAAATTACTATACACATTTCTTACACTAAAATTGTTTACTCGTTTCCATAAAAACCAAATTGCATAGTGTCCACATACGTTACTGTTTGGGGATTGTAATTGCATAGAATTTTGAACCACACCAGTCCCATGTCGTTGGATAAATTCGCGAAAATTGCTTGCATATTCATCAATTCCTACTCCGTAACTGCAGAAAAAATTTATTGGTAAGTTCCGGTTTTCAATAAACATGCATGTCCAGTGTTCGCCTGGGTGAGAAGTGGGTCGGTTATTAATCACAATTGCAATTGGGTAGTGTTCAAACACAAGATCATCCAACTCATTACAGGCACAGACGTCAAAAGTAATTTTATTTTTACAAAACAACCCCGATAGAATACGATAAATTTGGTCAGTATTCATCTTTACATGGAGTATTCCTTAAAGTAGATGTGACGATTCTTGTCGACATACAAAACTGCTTGATAATCACAGTGGCACAGGACAGTAAGGGCGGTGGTAGTTGCATTTCGTAGTTTTATCTCAATCTTCACACTGCCATGTCTTCGTATGGCGAATCCATCGTGTTGATGTCTCAAGTCAAAAACATATAGAGTTTTCCCATTTTTGAAAATGTCAAATGTTAGTTCTATTCCAGTGTCGAGATTTGTTAGACCAAGCCCCGAAAATACACTAAAGTAAGCTTCAATACTTTTCTTATTATCAAAGTCCAGTTCAAACGTTTGAGATGTTACTTGCTCAGAGTTCACCGTTACAGTGATGCTCGATATATCTGCTTGAATAAAGTTAAATGGGTTTTCATTGTAATGACCGTGTACGGCCTTACTTGAGACGATGCCAACTACTAAACGATCAGGCAAAAGACCCGTAATTAGACTTTCATTTGTATATTGTAATGTTCCAGATGATAGGGAAAATGATTTCAAATCTCCTCTTCGCATTGGATAACAAGCAGGCTGACCCTTGTCCATTAATCTCAAGTGCCCCATAGTAATTGATGGAAGTAGTGTATGTTTTTGAACAACTATTTTCGCTTCCATAATCTCAAGTTGTGCTGCATCTGATCCGCTAGAAGAAGTCCTGCTGAGTAGACAAAAACTGTCCGGTGCACGATAAAGTACTATTTTTATATCGATTCCTGGAATACAAAATCGGTTTTGATTAAATATGTCTGTCTTCAGTTTTCCACAAAGTTCAAAAACTTTGCTGTTGTTGGCCAATTTATCCCGAGTGTTCCACCCTTCATCTCCTGTACTTGGATCGACTTCTTTGTGATATAGTGCACCCATTGCTTGAGTCTTGGTATATTCTTTTCCAAAGGACAAAAGAGTCTCCAAGTAGGCTTTGTAGGGGTATAATGAAGTAGGTGACGTGATTTGCGTATCATTAAAATAAATTGCAACTTGACTAAACATTGAGTGTAGAAAATTGTTAATTGGTGCAGTATTAATTTGAGCGGCATCTCTATCTGCGCCCTTGCTATCTACAATCTTGCAGCGAATATAGAGCTGAGTTTCAGAAAAGTCGATGTATTGGGAGTCATTTCCTTGAATAATAAATGTCAGAGGAGTTGATCGATCTGAAATGTTGGTGATTGGATGGTAGTCGACCCTGTGGGAGCTGGAGAGAGTCAAATCATATCCGGGTTCCGAGAAGAGATCAGTCTCTGACCGTATAAAGTTCATGACCTGCTTTGCTTTAGCCATTCTTGTTAATCAAATAAGGATGGTTTGGAGATGAGTTTTCGTGTGCTCGTTTTTCTTTTCTTGCTTGTCGTTTTCTTCAAACGTTTGACAGGTTTACGTTTTGGTTTTCGCTTGATTTTACGTTTTTTTGATTTACGAGTAGTCTTCGTTTGTCGCTTTCGAACTCTCCTTCGTCGTCTAATCCTCCCACCAGACTGCCCGAGTAGACTAGTTCCAGCCTCTTTTAATGCACTCATTGCATTCGAACGTAAGGAGTCTTTGAATGATTGTTTGTTGTTTATAACGTCCAGCGCAATATTTTTAACGGCTGATTTTAATGGAGGCACAACGTGTGGTAGCAATGATCTGACAAAGGGTAATAAACGACTTGCTATGGCACCAAAGACACCACCAAGGCCAGCTCCCTTTTGTCGATAGTAACTTGCCTTATAAGCCAATGAACCCCCAATCTGAGGTTCGTAGGCCTGGTAGTAATCATCATCATCGTCTTCAGAATACATTTTTAGAAACGTTTTCTCCTAAAATGGAGTGTAGCACTAAAACTTCCAAATGAGAATGGTGGAGGTTGAGCAAACTCGTTCCTTATATACATATGAATATGGTCCATCGATGGTTTTGACACTGCCACATATTGTAAGTTGGTAAATGTTTTTGAAATTATTTTGTCAATGTCAGTATAAGGATTTACAAAAGATCTTAGAATTGGTGCTGAGGTTTCGCCAACATCACAATAAACATAATGTTTCGTATTGTTTGATTTAAAGTTAAATTTATACTCTGCACTTAAGCTGGAAGAGGTATGAATTTTATGTGAGAAACCGAGTATGTTGGCCATTACCGAATTAAATTCAAAATCATAGCGGACATCTTCCACAAATGACCATGTGGATAAAAGAGTAAATCCATTATAATGTTTAAAGACAAAGTTTTGCGTAGTCATTGCATCAAGTAAATCGTCAAATGTTTCGATAATACTATTATTGCACACTGTTATCCACTCATAGTTAGATTTATGTTCAGAATAATTATTATATTTTATGTTGTCAAGTGGGACAGTATCTGTATTTGTTATTTTTTCATTTGTCGAGGTAGGAACATAATTATTTGTTCGTTTCACTTTGTACAGTTCATCGCCCTTTGCAAAACGAATTGGTGATGATGGGTAACTACATTCTACCAAGGCCACTTCGTACGAGTTGGACTCTAAACTAATTGGCGAGCTTAACCAGTTTCTGAAGCTTGATATTGTATTGTCCTAGAAGTGAGAAAACGAGGAGTTGCTCTCAATGTGAACATAAAAGGACGACATGGTGAAGTAATTTCAATTGCGACGACTAAACTTGTGTGACGTTCACCAAGTTCTTGCTGAGGGTTTTATAGTCAATTGTCTGACTATTTCCTAATTTTCGTATGTACAACAAACAAACTCTACAATAAGTATTGCTTTGGATTTCATACTGAGTCACTATTCTAGCCAAATTTATTAATTCAGTTTCGCGACTGTTTGGAGGACTGCATACGGTATAGTTTGAATTTCTACCGTCAATTATAAAGTATGAACATATTATCGTGAGTAGCGCTATATCTAACACCAACAAAAACAGACTCAACCAAACTAAATGTTTTGGCACGCAGTAAAATGGCATCTTGAACACTCTGCGAGTGACTAACTAATGACAGGAGAAATTTTTATTATTTATGATGAGTGCCAAACATTAAAATTTGAGGCTATTTGAGGCGTTTGGGATAATTTGAAGAATAACTTGGGCGGCCTAAAGTCTCAAATGCCCCGCCATCATTTCTTGCCAGCCCATGTACACACATCTGAAAGATTTTTTCTCGTAAGAAATACATTGAGGGTTAATGTGAGACATTCGGAGTAATTTTAGGCATTTGGGGCAAAATGAGTCATCTGGGTGAAGTTGAAGTTGAGAATTTAGACAATTGGGGTATTGTGAGTCAGTTTTGAAATTTGCGCTACCATTTCTGCACATGTAAATACATCTTAGAAATTTTGACTTTCGCCTACAAATATCCCATACCTATCAATGTTAAAAGATATGGGGGTATCCTACTCGTGCTGGGCGCCAAAATATATCCACTTTATACCGCTAGTACTGAGGGTAACGCCCAGCCCATACCTATCAACGTTAAAGATATGGGGTATCCTACTCATGCTGGGCGCGAAAACAGTACCAGTATAACTACTTTAACTCCTGTCTGAAAAAGAGATGCATATTCATGTCTGTAACCACCGCAACTTTTAGATGGCGTTGAGCGTATACGAGTCACTCTTTGAAAATCACCAGAAGGTGCACACAATTGTTCAAGTGGCGGACTGCTCGGATTTGACTCAAGTATTCAGATTAGAGTACCGCGGTAAGATTGTGTCCGTGACTTTGTGTGAGTTGTTCCTTACTTGGTGTTTATTATAATGCGCGTACATTTCACACCAAACACAATATTTTTTTCCAATATTAATATTTCGAGTCAGAATAGCTACTTTGGTATTTTACAAACTGAAAATTTTTTATCTTTCTACAGCTTCAGACCAAACTTACTTAATCAATTCTGCATTAGGAGCCGGAAGTCAGCAATGGACAGCTGACATTCATCTGCACCCTAATTCCACCACTCCTCCCGTTTCTATTGCAGTATGAAATACATATTGATTTCGGCTCATAAAATTAAATTTATTAAAAACCTTGCCATTATTTATTAGGCAGATAATTGAGAGAACCAGCTGCGATATGATACAAACCCCTGATATTTTGAGTGGTTGTTCAGTCTCCAGTAGGCAACCAAAAGAAAGATTTCTTATAATCGGTTTTCATTTTTTCTGGTTTTTGAAATTTTTTTAGGATTGGCTTTTGTACAGACTCTGCAAGTTTCGACAGAGTCTCTAGTAGAGACCTACATCGGAACAACAAATTATTACATGAAAAATAAGTAATGGCAAGTAGTGCCTCAAAAACGTTATTTCTCATAAAAATGAAAACCCGTTTACAATGGGGGACCTCAGACACACGAAAAAATCGTCGCTTAGAATGTCGCTTACTTCCTGATAAGCGAGCTCTGGAACAAGGGAACAGAAACTCAACTCGGAAGTGGGGTTAAGGTCGGTTAGCTCCAGTCGGAACAAAATTTTACAATTTTCATAATTTTGGCCATGCTATCGATAAGCGAAAAACGAAGCGAAATTCTAAGCGACGATTTTTTTTGTGTGTCTGAGGTCCCCCAATATTTAAAAATCGGTTTTGGATGCCCTACTTTCCAGCCAGTAAAATTCTGTCATCCCGTTAGTGCACCACCCTCTGTACATAGATAAAATAATAATATTGAAATTTGAGAACACGACTATGAAATTTTACATGTATGTAGATCCATGCATAAATACATACGCTAATGTAAAACTAGTTTGCATACGATAGCCCGGCTTTGAGTTTTACACATTCTTAAATAGCCAAATCGTCGTATATAAACGAATTTTATATTGTAAGGTAGCGCTGACAAATTAGTTTAGACTTTTGATCCTTAGTTTTGATCTTTGACATTGCTAAGGATGTTTTAGTGTGCAGGAAATTTTTTAATTTTTTACCAAATGTAATAGCAAAAAACACTTTAAACTATTTTGGATTAGATTTATTCATCGCTGGGACCGGCTTCATATTACTTTATTAAGCTTTGGCCTAAATTAAATATACAAAAACTCGAATTGTAAAACATTGTAAAAATTAATTTCTCTACCGCAATTTTCTGCTTCACAACTCATGATGAATACTCAAAATTTCAAAAGACCAAATATATAAATTCTTTTAATTGAGAGCTCACTAAAGGGATGAAACTCTACAACCAATCATGATCTCGGGTATTCGAAGGTTTGACCTATGCATGCAGTGGTTCTCTCCTGCTGATTTTTCCTTCAATGAACATTTACAGCCAGTAAGCTGTGCTTGTGCATACTTTAAAATCCAACTGGTTGACGCAAGTAATTTCTATACAATTGAGACGGGCACAGCACGATCGAGTTTCAAATACACTGAGTAAGCATATTTACATATTAAACAAATAACGGTTAATCAAAATTATTCATAATATGTCAAATTTACCTTGACTACCAGCGTGCCCAACGATGTTGGGCTGGAGCTGGAAGCCGTGAGTCCAGTTAATAGTACGGACCCGTCCCAATTGTGGGGTTTCGTGAGATGTCCCAACTAAGGATGAAATTGTAATACTCCTGAACCATAACCTCCATCAAAACTTTGAACACATTTCGGCCCGCATTCTCATCTTTCCCTGCAAAAATTCTCCTTGGCAAACCTTGGGCACGTTCGCGTACCTACAACTTCAACAAGCGTGGTTAAAGTGAGGCGAACATGCTAGCGGGGAAACAGGTTGAGTGGGCGGCGACAAGAGAAGAAACCGGGGTTAATGTGTTCAAAGTTTTGATGGAGGTTATGGTTCAGGAGTATTATGAAAAATACTCGCTCTTAAAATACAAAATATATAGTGGTATCATTTACAGCCGCCATGGCAATATATTCTATTGAAGAATTGGAAACTATGAATCACTTAATAAATCTGACGTATGAAATATTAAGGAAATTTTTTGGGATCCATTTTATTTCTGAATTTGCGTCTTCTGTTCGTATTTATCCCAGGTGTTTTTAAATTTCTGGTTTATTTTCCAATACATATGCACCATGAAACCGTCTGGCAAATCTGGATCATTCTTATGGAATCATTAAACAAGAATAGCCACTTGATGTGTATTCAATAAATAGAAAATTGTTTGACAACTACATACATAAAATAAACATTTACCATCAGCTTTCTCGCCTACATTCTTTAATTTCACTTTTATTTCTTATTCATAATTACAATTTCAAAGGTTTTTGGCTATGATGCAATAAATCATATAATTACAAACAAATTCGGCATATTTACATACATACGAGCTTTTTACGCCAGTTGGTTTAAAATTTAGAATACGAACAATG